AGCTCCACGCAAACAGCTCGCCACAAAGGCAGCTCGTAAGAGCGCTCCTGCCACCGGAGGAGTCAAGAAGCCTCATCGTTACAGACCTGGTACAGTCGCTCTTCGTGAGATCCGTCGTTACCAGAAATCCACCGAGCTGTTGATCCGCAAGCTACCCTTCCAGCGTCTTGTGCGAGAGATCGCTCAAGACTTCAAGACAGATCTGCGTTTCCAGAGCTCGGCTGTTATGGCCCTTCAAGAAGCTAGCGAGGCTTACCTTGTTGGTCTGTTTGAAGACACCAACTTGTGCGCCATCCACGCCAAGCGTGTTACCATTATGCCCAAGGACATTCAGTTGGCCCGCCGAATCCGCGGAGAGAGAGCATAAGTTGACTTCACTTCGAATTACAAACGGCTCCTTTAGGAGCCACCACATAAATAAAAGCAATGACCAAACTATGAGCCCATCACCAACCAACTTAACAGCCCTTAAGCTGGAAATATGAAATCAGAAATTAAACCAAATGAAATTGTCCTACTTAAAGCGCTCAACTCCTAACTGCATAGAAATCATAGTTGTCCAACCTAAATCCATTCATACGAAAACCCTTCATTTTTATCTCCAAGATAAGTCAAACATATCTTTTTTCGACCATTTATCATTTGCATGTTATATCTATCTCCTAGACATGTATTTTTTTTGGCGCTAATATTATGTAAATCATCAGCGCTCTCTGGTAAGTCTTGTCGTCACTGCCATGGGCTTTTTAAGTTAAAAACATGACGCATTTTTCAAGAGTTATCAATTCGCAATAAAAGACAATTTTACTTCATTCACCAAATTAAACACACTTCTTATCGAGGTTGTGCATTAAGTGGCGAACGTTGTTTTGCTTCAATCCTGTTTGTATCGTAAAACAGGTTTTTGTCGTTGTTCAAATTTAGATGCCGGTCTGTCTTTGAATTTACATCGAAAGCCTATTTATACAAAGGCCTAACTTAGGACTCCGTCATTCTGACCGTAACTATATGATGTTTGTAAACTTCAAGTTTCCCTTCTGGGGTGCTTGATTTGTCCGGAAGCCCGGAGCCACTACCTAGCGCCATAAAAGATCGTAAAAGTGACTCTATCGATCGACAATAGAATATACTAGATACTCATAAACAGTATGCTATTTCGCGTAGTTCTGAACTTCACTGCACAACGTATAGGAGACCTGTTGCAGCATTTAGCAAGCACATCACATTTTCATCTGGTGTGCAATTTCTTCTTTGTCAATAAACTTTATTTATGAGAATACAGCTCTCTAACTCCACTCCGCTCGTGGCATAAAGTTTGCTCGGGAGTCGAGAGCGCGCAACTGATTCATGCATAACTAGCGTGTAAGAAAGCAAGGCAAATCTGCCACACTAAGCAGATAACCTTGTTCCATCAACATTAACTTTCAAACGATTGCTATTTAGCCATATTTTCAGGTCATTTTGCTCATTCAAGAAATTTAGCATACAGGTCACGTATAAAATGGCGGATATTTTAGTTTTGTTCTTCTTGTTCAAATTTAAAGTCCGCTCTGCCTTTGAATATGCATCAAAATGCTCATTTTTTCATACACATGCAAACTCTAGGACCTCCTCTGTCCTGAATTGTCTAATTGTATAGTGAAAAGCGATTTAAGAGAGCTTCTTTCGTCATTTATCCAAAGTTCTTCTTGGAATCTCACCTCTTTGTAGACTTTTGACCGTAAAACGTCATTCTAACTTTGAGTAAATCAAAGTATATTTCACATATAATATTTTCCATATAACAAAGCTAAAATCTTTTTAATTGGAAAAGATTTGAAGTTATTGTATTAGCTTGTTAACGACCGAAATGTCAAGCAAACTAGCACAGTTTGAACGACGCCATATTGTAACGACCCTGTTTCCTCGGTGGTTCGTTTACGAAGAATAACATCACCTTGCGTGCTCCAAAGAAATCATTACTAGTCTCTGTTGCGAAGGATCTACAGCAAACAACATGTCCGAAGAAAAGCCCCCCGTTAAAAAGAAGCCAGCTGCGCCCAAAAAGCCAGCCGAGCATCCACCTTATTCTGACATGATCAAAGCTGCTATCTTAGCGTTGAAAGAGCGAAACGGTTCTTCCCGCCAAGCCATCGAGAAGTACATCAAAGCCAACTACAAGGTTGGTGAGGTCGGCTCGCACTTGAAGATGGCTTTGAAGAGGGGCGTTACTAGTGGCAAGCTTGTCCACACCAAGGGAGTTGGTGCTTCTGGTTCTTTCAAGGTGGCCAAGGAGGAAAAGAAGGAGAAGAAGCCGAAGAAGAAGCCAGCTGCAAAGAAGAAGCCAGCTGCAAAGAAGAAGCCTGCTGCCAAACCAAAGAAGCCCGCCGCCAAGAAGGCAGCAAAGAAACCAGCGGCGAAGAAGACAGCTAAGAAACCCGCCGCCAAAAAGCCAGCAGCGAAGAAACCCGCAGCTAAAAAACCAGCTGCAAAGAAACCTGCGGCCAAAAAACCAGCAGCGAAGAAGCCTGCGGTTAAAAAGCCCGCCAAGAAAGCTGCGAAGAGTTCGAAATCTCCGAAGAAGGCTGCCAAGAAATAGGGAGGATAACAACTCCTCGTTTAATCAAACGGCTCCTTTAGGAGCCACCACATTCAAGAAAAAGTTATGACCAACTGAGTAAAACACTGTTTCGATGATCGAGTTTAACTTTGCGATAAATTTGGTAATGGCTCTCACTAGGTTTTCCCACTAAAGGTCGCTTTATCGTTAGTTAAATTGGCTTTTATGAGGAAAGCGCTGCTATGTGGATACATAGGGTGCGTAGCAATGTTTCGCGTGAATTTGGGAAAGGGCGCGTGAACTTTTCCTTGTGTATTTGTGACAATTTTCCTACAGACAGTCCATGACAGATACACCAGTTACATGGCAATGTTAACCTCGTCTCACATCGCGTTCCTTCGCCTAGCTTAACATAAAGAGAAACAAGGCAAGGACTTTATCGCAGTAAACTGCCCCCTTTTATCGCTTTGAGCAACTCTCAGTCGCTGGAGAATATATCTAGGCTAAGCAAAGTTAACTGTCTCAGCGTGTAGCTTTCAAAGTTTTCTGTTTTCTTGACTCCAACTTTGTCGAGTATCACACGTAGCTTGCGGCATTTGTGCTCCGCTTTGAAACATAAAAACAAGCGGCGAAGCCGCAGGAGACTTGAGACTAATGACAAACGCTTTGACCACACACAAGACCATTAGCTTCGCAGGCTAGTTGTTGATCTTTTAGCGTCGAGCACTTTGGCCGCTGAGAAAAGCTTCGAACTCCAGAGATCTATTGTAGATCGGTCACGCTCAAGGTGACCAAGAGGTGATAATTAAAAAAAAGAACACTCTGGTTCTTCAAATTTTTAATTCTTGCGTGACATTTTAAAAGAAATCATGAAAAATATTCTTCGCTTCCTACCCGTTTTATCTATGACTGATATTGCTTTGCTCATTAATTAGTTACATTTTGTTTCGCCTCGCCAAGGAAACAGTTCGCGCGGTATACATACGCTATACACACGATATCCGCTAAGGCCATAGGAAAGGCACGAAAAACAGCACCAGGATTTTATTGAAACGGATGATAAAGCAATTTCAGAAGTACTTAACGGAGTTGTATTGGTCATGGACTTTTATAACATTTAGTGGCTCCTAAAGGAGCCGTTTGTTTTGGCGGGAAACCCACTAAGTGAGTTTACTTGCTGCTGGTGTATTTGGTCACAGCCTTGGTTCCTTCACTG